TCAACAAATGTCAGAATTGGCAATTGTGTGCAATGGATATTTTACAAGATCAAGAATATTCTTGGTTCTTTCGGTAAAGTCACGTAGAAGGGAAACAATAAAACTATAAAACAATATCGTTTCCCTTCTACGTGACTTTACCGAAAGAACGAAGAATATGAATCCCTTCAGTCACGAAAGCTTTAAATCAAAAGATCAAGAATGTTTTTCTCATATCAAGGAGATACGTTTCCACCAACATTTCAACAAAGCAGAAGTACCGTACTTCTTTCATAGTTCCTCGTTTTCATACAAAGTAATTAATAAGATTTGTTTAGTGATGTCAGACATGGTATGACTTGCTAGCAATGCCACACAATATGTACAGTATGTTAAAAAAAATTGTGGGGGGAGAAGACTAACAGCAAGATTTTGAGATATTAGCTTACTGTTTGTAACTATTTTGGTCATGTAGATTTGTGACAAGCAAAAGTTATCAGACATTTTGAAATGCTGTATCGGTAGAGAGTATCACAAGAAATGAAAGCAAATGCTAATTGGCTAGAGATGAGCTGCGGAAACCATTGAATTAAATTACCAAAGCGATGACAGCAGAGATATTTTGTCTAAACATCTCTCTTAGAAGGTGAGATTATTGTCTCAGTAGGTTTTTATTCGGGCTCAAGGTAAAGGGGTTTATTATGCAGCAGACATGAACAGTAGATTATGAAAAGGGATTTGACTCTGAAAATGATTACAGTTATACAAGCTATCATAAGCCAAGGCCTGAATAAAACATTATAAGGATAATGCAGCTACACTGAGATTACATGAAGAAAATAACAAAATACATATCAGATGCAGATTTGAACACGAAGATATGCTCTTTCCGAAGTTATTCGCAGCAACATTGGTAAGATATTTTATGGAAATTTAAGTCTAGAAATAAAAGTGTAAATAGAGAGAAAATATTAATCCCCTCAAATTTGCCCATGACAACAACCAATGGAATTAAATTGGAGGAAATTTTTGAATGACTTACTAAAGAAGGCTGCAAAGTGGGGCTCAAAATAAATAACCGAATGGATATTTTTTAATTGGAGCCTAATAGTAAAAAAAACTGTGCACGGATAATGCATATACATCGGGTGGCAATGCTCTTGCATACTCGTTGTGTGAGGCCTCGTGCAAACCATGCTAATTACTTTGTACCTCACGCTACGGCACACCTTATTAAAGCTAGATTACAGTGCTGACCCAAGGTCTTTGCCTTGGAATAGAATAATCAGTGAGCATGGGCAGATATCACCTCCAACTACGTGGACTGTCTTGTTGAGATGAATTGGATTGTTTTCCTTCTTCATTGGCACTATGATGCGCAGTGTATGTGTAATGACATGATGACACCTGCTGGCTGGGAAAGGGAAGCACGGGTATGGGCACCGCTAAAACAACATCCAATCTGAAAGGAAGAGGTATCTGGGGCAAAGGGGTTGGCTGAGATGCTCCTGGAACCTGCTCGAAGGTTTTACGATAGGGCGTGGCCAGAGGCGGAGCCTAGCTGCGCCTGGGGAGATATAAGCGGGAGCGGACCAGGGCTCGGGGTTCGTGTGTGGATTCTTTGGTCCGGACTGCGTCGCTGCTTGCTGTCATCTCTCTCCATCGTCCGGCCACGTGGAAGATCTCCTGCGGGGTTTCCATCGCCATCCTCGTCATGCCGCCAGGTCGTGGCGTAGCTGAGTGAGGGTGCTGGGACCACGCCGAGTGGTCGGCCATGTGTGTAGCCAATAGAGACGTTAATATCTAAGTGTTGTACTCAGAGTGAGAAGGATAAGGTTGGCCTGTGTTGTGCCCGTGTAAGGAATAAAAGAAGTAACCTCTACACGACTTGTCTTGGAAGTCGCTCATTACATATGCGAAGACAGTCTCTTTGAAATACACACGGCGCAAACAGGAATTCCAGCCAAATAGAAAAAAATAAACAATCACTTGGGACTTTCAGGGTCTAATTTCTACATTAATTTTAGGATTATAGATATGTTACATTATGTCATTATTAGGCTAATTGAGCTCACATATGAGTACATTGTGATGATGGTGGCTGTCGTACGTAATCTCCAAAAAAATATTTTTCATGATCCTTAAATTTTTTTTTTATCGTATTTGAAAGCCTGGGCTGCAGCCATGATTTTAAATATCTTCGTGGTTCTCACATTGAAGACGCTGGGAAATGTGTCACTGCAGAACACACGGTGCTCTTTTATGAAGGCGTGTGATCACTTGGACTCTTGTACGTGTCTTATGGTTTATTTTTTGTTTAATGTGCGTGTGGTGGCTCGCGAATCTCTAGCGCCACACGTGGTGGAGAGTGGGTATTGGTGGGGCTTGAGTGGTGCTGCGCTGGTGACTGGATAGAAAAACATAAAAGTATCATCAGGAGGATGACGATCGCTTGTGTTGTGATCGATATGTCGTAGTTTTTTTTAAAATTTAATTTACTTTTCTAGATTTGAAGCTTTCGTGACTGCAAGGATCCATACTCTTTGGTTCTATTCGGTAAAGTCACGTAGGTAAAAAAATAAACAAAAATCACGACGTTTCGGCCACAACACAAGTGGCCTTCATCAGGTGAAGGGACCAACCTGTCCAGAGGACAGCGCTGGAGTGAAAAAAGTCAAGCGCAGATCGCCTCCTTTAAGCTGTGAGTGAGTAAACAGAAAAGACGCCTTGACAAAGGAATTAGCATAACAATGTCAAGCTGTGCAAGCTCGCAAATAGCATAAAAATACATTAGCACCACCGTGAGAGTTTTGGATGCCACTAATTGAATGAACATACTGTACCATAAAACAAATCCAGCGCAGGTCGCCTCCTTTAAGCTGAGTGGGTAAACAGAAAAAACGCCTTGACAAAGGAATTAGCATAAAAATGTAAAGCTGTGCAAGCTCGTAAATAGCATCAAAAATACATTAGCACCACTTGTTTAATGGTACAGTATGTTCATTCAATTAGTGGCATCCCAAACTCTCACGGTGGTGCTAATGTATTTTTGATGCTATTTGCGAGCCTGCACAGCTTTACATTTTTATGCTAATTCCTTTGTCAAGGCGTCTTTTCTGTTTACCCACTCACAGCTTAAAGGAGGCGACCTGCGCTTGACTTTTTTCACTCCAACACTGTCCTCTGGACAGGTTGGTCCCTTCACCTGATGAAGGCCACTTGTGTTGTGGCCGAAACGTCGTGATTTTTGTTTATTTTTTTACCTACGTGACTTTACCGAATAGAACCAAAGAGTAATTTACTTTTATTTGTTTTCTATCTATGTGATTTTACTGAAAGAACCAAATAATATGAATTCCTGCAGTCACGAAAGTTTTAAGTCTAGTCTCACTCAGGCGGCATGTAGATAATGAAGGAGTCTTTTAGAAAGTTACAAGAATCTGGCCAATTGGGCGTGATCTCGCTGAGACGGCACACAACAATACTGTAGCAATAGGGTCATCAGGAAGGGGGGCAGTTCGCTGGTAGCGGGGTTACTTGCACCTCTGTACGTCACATGTTTTTTGGTGCCTCTTGCTCTCTCGCGATGTTTGTAGTTTTTTTGATTCACGTGTGTTTTGTTACATACCTCGTTTGTCAGTTGTGAAATATTCCTTAAGACCCATGTACTCGTTCTCAGCAATATTGATCGTTATTGTTTTTTGGTGCTGCTGTGCTCACACACCACGGATCTCCCTTGTAAAATATAAAACAATGGGAGCCGTCTTCTGGGTTCTTTCGGTAAAGTCACGCTGTCTTCCGGACAGTCCTGTTTCTTCACCTGAGGAAGGCTACTTGTGTTGTGGCCGAAACGTCGTGAGAATTTTATTGTTATTATTTTTATTATTTTATCTCCATTATACGTGACTTTACCGAAAGAACCCAAAAGATGAATCCCTGCAGTCACGAAAGCTTTAAATCGAAATTCAATGGGAGCCGCTTTGGCGCCAGTGAGACTGGTGGCAAACCGTGCTCAGCTGGTAGGCCTCGATATTTAAACACCCCGCTCCCTCGGAGTGCTCGGGGCGTTCGTGTCTGGGTCACGTCCCGACTTCCTCAAGTCCCTGAGAGTGTGCGGCGCTCCTCGATGAGCCACCTGAGGAGTTCAGAAAAGGCCTCTCCTTTCATAGCGCAGGGGGTTCTCAGCCACGGTTGAGTACGTTCCCTTATGCTCTTTTTATGGTATTTTGATAATTTAAATCAAGTGCCCATTGTAATGGGAATTTACTGAATAAAGAGTTTCATGATTGAAGACCTCCAACTGGACAATGCTTTGTTCATGCTACGTTACCCAATGCCAGTGCTGGCTGTGCCACTGTGGACATGTAGGTGTTGCTGATACACAACCAGCCTGATATTACATATACGTGTGCGTATTTGTATGTTTTAACCGTTTATCTGGACGTATATGCACAAGTCTGTGCCTTTGTTTTTGGCCTGTCATCCACACCTATAGCTAAATTTTTCTACCATTCAAGCCATTGTCTCCCACTGTTATTGACCCTGTCAACCCTTCGAAAACAGCAGTTTCCGCAAGTGCATCACAGACATTTAAAAAAATATGTGGTGTATGACAATCGTGAAGGACTTATATATGATGATTCAGTTGTTCGTTTATAACAGTGATTAAACATTCTAAAATAATATGCACTGTATCTATCACCATCAATCATGATCAATCTACTGCTGGATGAAGGTCCCACCAAGCGGTTGTCATCTCCCACGAACCTGCAGTGTGTATGTTGGTGACTGCGTAATATATAAAGTATACATTTTATGATAAAAAAAATAAAAATGACATTTTTGGAACAAATGTAATAAAAATAATTATTTTAAGCTCAAAACTGAAGAGGCACCATGCATTTAATTTTCCATTACTGTATTTTTCATGCGATATTATTCTTTATTCTTATAACGCTGACTCCAAATCCCTTTTAACGTGAGTGTTTTCTTCCTTGTCGCCTTTGCCACCGTGTGGGTAGCACGATCCAACGGGGAAGGACTTGACCATTCTTCCGCTGCTGGAGCACTGTCAGAGCACACACATGAACATCTGGCTGGGCATCATATACGCCTACAAGGGCCTGCTCATGGTATGCTGGGCGGCGGTGGCAGAGTGCGTAAACTCTCAGTGCTTCCAGACTCCCCAAGTGTTATTACTCGAGTTGCCAGGATATAAGAAAAACCACGATGCAGTATACATTTTCACGATGTGATGATTATCGTGATATCAATTTCCCAAGCCATTGCAATCATATCTGACAATTTTTTGCATTGCTTTTGCGTGCCCTTTGCTGTACTTTCAGTATGAATATATTTTTTAAAGAGTTATTCAACTGCAGTTCACTCAAATTATAGCTTCTGTAAGTCTTATAATGATTTTGATTTAAAGCTTTCGTGACTGCAGGGATTCATATTATTGGTTCTTTCGGTAAAGTCACGTAGAAGGGAAACAATAAAATAATAAAATTAGAAATAATTAAATTCTCACGACGTTTCGACTGCAACACAAGCAATCATCATCAGGTGTGAAAACCACAGTAAGAAAATTTGAAACCGCCACTTTTTTCAAATTTTCTTGCTGTGGGTTTCACACCTGATGATGATGATTGCTTGTGTTGCAGTCGAAACTTCGTGATACTTTTATTGTTTAATATTGTATTATTGTATTGTTTCTCTTATAATGATTCCAGGTATAATGTACGTGCTGTCAGTTACGCGAAAAAGAAAGGAACTGCAAGGATGTTGATGTCATATAACAGCTAAGTCGTTAATTACTTTGGAAAACATTTGGCAAAATACTGATTTAATGGTTAATAGCTATTTATCTACAAATTTATTATTGTGAACAGTAATTACTGTAAAAAAATCCTCCAGAAAAGAAATGATATAAAAATATATATGAGCAACGATAATTATATAACAATATTTATCAAAATGTATAATACGATTATTGTGGACCTTATATCTTAATATGTTTTCGTGGCAATCCGAGTTAATACATTATTTGTTTACAATTTACTGTTTATTGTTAACTGCTGCCTTTTGGAAATGTTTGTTTTTCCTTGTGCATTGTCTATGCCAGACACGGGGCTAACATGTTTTTGTCTGTTTCCAAAAATACAAATGTAGGTTTTGTCACCATGTCAACTTCCACAGATGTGCAAAGTGATCCAATATGGCTCCGTTAAATTCCAGAATGCATGCTTGCTCAACAACACATTGTGTAACAGACAATCTCCTCGTGTCTCTTTTGGATGCCTTTTGAGGGTAGAAATTACAAAAGGCATTACACCACTATGTGTGGAGCATAGATTTGCAATTCTGGACGCGTAGATAGTGATTATACAACCGTACACACATTCCTCTTGTGAGCCACTAAAGTAAAGTGGAAAATTTCAAATATAAAAGAAACATTATTATTTACAACCCTTTAATAATCCACTGGTCAATGCCATGTCACTACTCTGGTCAGTGTGGATTGGTGAAGGAGGGGGACCAGGATCAGTCCAGATGTTTCTCGCCACTGATGTTAGCTGGGGCCGGGAATTGAACTCAGATGGCCAGTTTTATACCGCAAGTGTGTTACGGACTATGCCACTGCTTTCCAAAATGCTAAGTACAGGTAATACAAATATTCCTTTGTTTACCGTTAACTACAAAACATTAACTTCTTCCACATCGTGTTCTATACGATATATCAGAGGGGGGGGGGGGGGGGGGAGTGCAATGGTTAGCACACTGCATTTTGAACAACTGTCAACCTGATTTTGATTACCAGTCACGGCTAACATTACTGGAAAGTGATATCAAACCTGACCCTGGGCCACAATTCACCAACCCGCACTGACCAGCATGGAGATGTGTGATCAAACAACCCCCCATCACTGACATGGCTTGGAGAGGCCTTCATCCAACAGTGGAGAGACACATTGGCTGTAAATTCTTATTTATTATAATTCTGTATAATAAGGTGCCCACGGTTGAGGTATTAAGTAAGCATCGTCTCCCATTGTCACCCAAATACTTGCTCATAACTAAGTCTGCTCAATAATGTGCTACCTATGGAGGTTATGTAAACAATACATTTTTTATTTATATTCTTAATTTTTTCGGTAAAGTCACGTTGAAGAGAAACAACAAAATAACAAAATATATATAAAAACAATAAAAAAATACATTTTTTGTTTCAATGTGCTGTTCGGAATTAAAAAAAAATAACCTTTCAAAATACGCTGCACCACTCGACTACCATTCTCATGACAATACATTTTTGGGCCAATCTCAAGAAACCTAAAGTAGTTAAGTTGAGAATAAGAGGATTGTCACAGGTATGGTATTCACAGCCATTCATAACCTATGTATGGTCTTCAGGGATGGGTCAGGTGTGGAGAATTCAACTCATGAAGATACGCACAGCAGTTTCGTGGTGAAAGCTCGAGAGAAGTGCTCGACACATAATCAAATCCAGAAGACCACACTTGGAACGAGAGGGTTTTCCATAGCGTGAAGTTTTTATAACCACTAATCTTTTGGCAAGTGTTGCTTCAGTCAATGGCTCAAATTTTATATGAAAAATAAGAATAGGTTTTACCCTTTCTGGCAATAAAACAGGTGTTAAGATGTTCAAACACCAAATAGATACCTTTTGCAAGGAATCAAATCTGCTGTAGGCCAATCATTTTCAAAGACAATGCATATATTATGACAGCATGTTTGTTTGCATGTTCACCACAAGTAAAAAGGTCCCATGATATGGCTCAACTTTATTTAACATAACATGATTTAAAGGAAAAAAAACCCTGAACATGTATTAAATATACCTAAATGTAGTTAATTATGGACAAGACTATTCTTAGGGCAGAGACTTGTTTTTATAAACAGACAGTGTTACATTAAGTCTACTGAGTCCTCTATAATCTAATTAATTATGTAGGCAATTTACTCTTGGCTCGCTAAGCATCTGATGGGTTGCATCATACTCACAAATTACATGATATTCAACAAGTCACTTCATTATTTTACCGCAGCATCTAAGTAAAACCCCACTGTGCCTCTCTGCGTAGGTATTTGGATGCTTTTTGGCATGGGAAACCAGGAACGTCTCCATCCCGGCTCTTAATGACAGCAAGTACATCGGCATGAGCGTCTACAACGTGGGCATCATGTGCATCATCGGGGCGGCGGTCTCCTTTCTGACGAGGGACCAGCCCAATGTCCAGTACTGCATCGTGGCTCTCGTCACCATCTTCAGTTCCACCATCACACTCTGTCTGGTCTTTGTTCCAAAGGTCAGCACAGTGAGCATGTGCGCACATACACATGTAAAGGGTAACGTCAATAGAATGTGTATCTATGGACATGTGAAGGGTAAAGGTCAGCACAGCGTGTATGTACACACGTATAGAGGGTGAAGGTCAGCACAGTGTGTATGTACGCATATATTGAGGATAAAGGTCAGTGCGGTGTTCATGTATGTTTGTGCATGTAAAGCCTAAAGGTGAGCACAGTATTTGTGTATGCACATGTAATAAGTAGAGCTATATGTAAACAATCGCTACATCCCATTTTAATATAAATTAGAAGAGACTGTTTTATGGGGTAGTGACATGGCCCAGTGGTAGCATACTCGCCACTTGTTGCAGATGATCGTGGTTTCAATTCAACATGTCACCCTGGTTATTACTGCGGGTGTATTGACCATATAATATGTGAAGTCTGCTCCTTAGCGAACGTTAAAGATCCCCGGACATAATTCAAAACAAGAAAGCCTTTTTGGTTGTCGTCATTGTCCAAATTTGATAAATTACCAATAAATTACTCAATTGGGATTCCACATAGCAATAATTGCCCTCTACAAGCAGAATAAGGCCCCATTTGCAAGCCAGTAGCTAAGTCACCTTGTGCCAACAGAGACAGCTGCTACTGGGGGTGCCCTTTCAAATGTTTCAGTTGAGATGTGAGGTAAGTTGCTTGTCACATGTAATGTGCTCTGAGATGCCATGGCATAAAGGATGCAATATAAAAAAATAGTCTTATTATTCAAGTAAATCAAGGATAGGATAGAATATACAGGGTGTTTTAAAAAGATGGACCACATTTCAAAGCAGTATATTTCACGATGGTAACATGTTACAATTACACAAAAAGTTCTAAACGGTTTAACGAGTTATCAAGTTTTAATAACCATTTTTCAATGCTCTATGTGCCCTCCCCCTGCTGTACGGACAACATCGAGACGATAGTTGAATCCGTGTGCTTGGAGAGGCATCTATCGGTAATCATTTGAAACTCTATGCCCCGCCCTTTCAAGTGGTAAGAGTTTTATTCATGGGCGGTTCGTGGTGGCAGAGATATAGCGATTTAAAATCGGGTCCATCTTTCTAAAACACCCTGTTTAACTTTCTGCCTCCAATACTAAAAGCAATCATTTATTATTTGCCTTGAAATATTAGTACTTTATTTTATATATAAATCAGTCAAAAATTGTATTAAAATAGTTAAATGTGCCCATTTTTGCCAAATTGATATTCCAGCATCGTCCATTAGACTTTTTCTTATAAGCTATTCATAATCTTTTTTGTGATTATTACTGCAACCTGACCAGTTGGCTCATTCTAGTCTTGGCTCAAAGGAATTTAGGTGAGGTGGGGAGGTCGTGGGGTTTTACAATAGTTTTTTCTATTTTTCACATTTATCTTTTTTTGGTCGTTTGTTTTACTTTAGTCGTTTGCCTTAAAGGGGGCAGACAGTGTGGAGAATGCCTGGAATTGTAGACTGCCCTCGGCCCGCCTTTGCCTCGATGGGAACATGCACAAATTATTTTCCATTTTGTATGCGTGTATGTTGAACCTCTTTCGCACCGTACGTAGCCAACCATGCTAATCTTGTAGCTACACAGTACCTACACAGTAGCAACAAGAGCTTTTAGAGTTAACTCTGGAGCGCTTTACCAGATGACCTTTCATCGATCTCATTTTATCCCGCACCTCCGATTAGCACAGTTGGCTACGTACAGTGCGAAAGAGGTTCAACATGCTAACATACATCTCGCGAAACATTCAAAAAATATTTTAAAACGCCACTGGGACTTCGACCGAAAGTCACCAGTGTTCTACACTCGAGCATTTATTAAGTACTGTAATCATTTCACTTTCCTGGGTAGTTATACATTGCGTTTATTTACTGAGATGTATAGACATCGTTCTGTTTGATTAAAGCTTCGTTTTCTGTGCACAGCTCATCACTCTGAGAACAAATCCGGACGAAGCCACACAGAACCGCAGGTTCCGCTTCACACAAAACCAAAAGCGCGAGGACACTCGCACCCCTCCGTCCGTCTCCAGTGTCAACCACACGTCCAACAGCCAATTCGATGGCTTGCAGAGTGACAATCACCGCCTCCGCATGCGCATCACAGAGGTGCCTTGGTCCCCCGATTTTGTTTTGTTGAATATCAATAAATATGTATCAAATATTAAGCACACGTGAAAATGTAGCTCTGCAATGATTTTTAGGGTTGTATCGTCTATTGTTTGGCATGGTGTCTGACGTTTCACTCCAAGTGCTGGAAATTTTTTCAGGAAATAAAACATGCAGTAGAATTGGAAAACACATCAGAGAGGCTGTACGGTGTCACCACCTCTTTAGTAGTGCACATCTGATTGTGTTCTGCTTAAAAAGTGCAAAATTGTGGGTGTGTACTATGTGCATGCTTGCTTCTATTTGTGGAAGATATATGGAAGGCACTCTCAATTTCCTGCATCATTGTCATAGTTGTCTATATGTGCTTATCTCAGAATAACATATATTCTGGAGCTACAATGCCCTGTGGGCTTCAACTACATAGTATTATGAACCAGGTGTGTGCATTTGATTCATCTCCCAATCCCTTCATTATGACAGAGAGAAGCAACGCATATCTTTTAGATAATTTAATTATACAGCTTTAAAAACGTGCCAAAGTGTAACTTGCCACTGTACCTAAAGGAGAACATTTTCAATCAGAGGATATTACCTGCTGTGACATATCTATAGGAAACGTGGACAGAGACATCATATGCAATGAAGCACGGAGAGGTGAGTAGTTGAAATTACACGGAGATATAGGTAGAGGAACACATCGATAAGAAAGCAAACACAGATTAGTGACATCAAATTGACTGTTAAGAAAATTAAGTGGATTTTGGCAGGCCACGTTCTTGGAAGGATTGATGGCCGATGTACGAGGCTGGTGACAGCATGGCAGCAAACGGAGGGAACTGACCGAGAGAAGAAAAAAAAGGCCGAGGAAATGGCTCAATTCGATCAGCTAACGTACAGGAGAATTGATTTCCAGTTAAGCGATACCTTGTGTTTGTGCATTAACGCTTGTTGCATACTCATGTGCGTGTGGTGTGGCGCGTGTGTATTTCCCCGCCAGTTGGACTCTGAACTCGAGCAGATCACTATGCAGCTGCAGGAGAGCCCAGAGAAACTAACCAGCTCCTGGAGCAGCAACAACTACATTCAGACTCCCATTGGCTACGGCACCAGCACACAGAAGCTGCTGCTAAATGGTATTCATTATATTTGCGCTCACCTCAACTTTTTTAATTGCTTTTCTGAAAAGTTGCAACCTTTCAATTATTTTCTTTAATGTCACTGCGGTTTAATGACATCTCATGTGGGACTGCATTGTGGTTAATGCAAGCATTATCCCTTGTAAAAAGGTATCAGTTTTGTTGCCAGATAAAAGGGTAAAAACATATTATTATATCTTGCTACTGGCAAAAGGAGGTCTCATAATGTAAAAGCTTACCCCGAGCTCTCAATACTCTGATGGTGTGTTGTCTTTGAGTTGTACACCTTTTGGCGTCATCTGGTCCAAAACCATTTGAGACTGGGCTCTAAGAAAAGCTGTCTCGGGTGTGGACCAATTAACTTCAAGGACAGTGCATACATTATCAGTGTTTTATTTTTGTTTGCTTTTTGACCGCAAGTGTTGTGGTTAATGCAAGCATGATCCCTTGTAAAAAGGTATTAGTTTTTTGCCAGATAAAAGTGTCAAAACCTATTATTAATATATTGATAGGTATATAATAATTGAACCCCCCCCCCCCCACCTCAACCCACACTGGAGAATTGATGAATTGTCATAATTTGGAGCCAAAATTGAAATCAAGAATCATTATTTTGCATCTTTGTTTTAGCTATCTTGTTTTTTTATGTTTGTCCTTATTCTGTCTCACATGTATAGTTTAGTTTTCTCCATTAGCCCTAACGTAAGGTGATGTCATACATCACATGTATTCAATCTGCATAAGTAATAATCAGTTCTCATCCACAATGTGATGCATGTACCTGAGTGCAACACATTTATATTATTGATGTATCAATGCATTATTATTTGCGATCTGCTATGTAGACAACACTTTCATAGTCATGAAAATGGAATGACCTTGCACAAACAATTAGGATTCAAAAGGGTAATATGCATCGTGTGAAATAAAATGTCAGTTGTGACAAAGAATTTTGTCGTAACAAAAGATTGTTCCTAATTGGTGGCTGTGCTGTAAGCTCATTATGTGGCTCTTTTCCTCTCACCTCGCAGAGGTGAGGGGGCCTAATGTGCGAGTTAAAGTGATTTATCTGACAGTATGGTTGGAGCATTTTCAGTTTTCATAATAATTAATCAATAATTTATAGCCCTTTGTCAAGTCCCTTGCTACATGGAGGCCTCTCCTCACCGCGTCGGTTATTGGGGGAGGGGGCGGGGGGTTTGTAAAGAGGAAGGAGGGGGATGGTGCTCAGGACCGGTTCAGATATCACCAACCACTGATGGTTTGCCAAGGCCGGAGTTGAACTCAGGTGTCGTGCATCAGAGTACAGTACGCTAACCACTGTGCCACTGATCCATCCTTCGTTTTCGTACTTAAAGTATCATATATTCATTGGTGCAGAAACGTACAACGTGAAGTTTAATGGCTACAGTTATTCGGTGATCCATTCTAAACTGTGTAATATTTTAATTCAAGAATTGTATTCAGACAAAAATTCATGGTGTCATGATTTTGTACATCCATTCGGATTGGAACAATGTGTAATGTAGCACTCAGAGACGCTGTCTTGCTTAAGTTATATATGTTATATATTACAGTACACGCGACTCGATGCCATGTTATCAGGTGGACGCAGGTTGACTATACAACTGGGTGACTCTGTAGCTGCTACACGACGTTCACTATATAGCTGACTGACTATATAGGAGCTGTCAATGTAGTAGCCACGGCGAAAATATATAACTTCTTTCCCAGCCTTCCAAGACGATGAGGGTGATCCACAGTGATGACAGCGACGACGGTCCGGACCCCCTAATCCCCACAGTAGCCCGTAGCCCCGCTCTGCGCTGCCTTTTATTTCCCCTCGGCTCTGCCTCGCCGCTTTTCCCAAACTCTCTCCTTTGCCTCACTAAAACACCCCGGTGGGTTCCATCTCTACCCCCGCGTTGACTCCTCACCCAGTTACCTCACTTGACCCTGCCTGTCTTCATAACTGCAATAGTTATTTACAGCCACTAGGCCCCGTACTGTCCTTACAAATGCATTCATGAAAAACCAATAATACTAATTATTGATTCAAATTATGTATTCATTAAATCTCTTTGCCCAGTGATCAAAATGTTTTGGTTATGCATACATGAGTAAGTTTTGTTCTAATAATATGCCAATTTTATGTTAATGTTAAGATCAAAATGGCAAAGGAAGATGGGCAAATGTGATGGATACAGAAATGGTTGGACGAAAAAAGACAAAACATACAGAGCGGATAAATGAATGAAAGACAAAATATATATTTCCCATGAGACCACGTACAAAGGAGGGGCAATACAAGAAACAATACAACAACTGACAGTTCAGACCAAATAAAAGCAAAAATATGTGAACAGACGAAACAGCACAAAAAAACAGTACAAAAGAGGAGGAAGTACAAGACAGTACACAAGATAGCAGTGCACAAAAATCACAACAACCAGTTTTCAAGATAGAATGTAGAGTAGGAGAGGGCATAAATGAACACAGCAGGCACACATTATGGCTGTACGCACCACTGGATCCAGAGGAACGGCAGGAAAGAGGCGGTAGGGAATACTGTTGGCAGATTTGCAGTTCGAATATTTATGTCAGCAAAATATTTATTATTGAACCATATTCAAGGGAAATTAGTTTTTTTTTTAATTCAAAGCTGTGGCCAATAGTATCATAAAGAAATCATTAAAATTAACTCCCCGTGACGAGAATTGGGAAAAATAAAATAAATAAATAATCACACCACCACCCGTTATCAATGCAATGTAACGAATTTCAACAGAATTGGATCCTTCCAGCCCTAAAACTCATATCATTATGAAAATTATTTGTAGATTGATATACTGTAGTGTAATTATTAGTAATGTTGTTGTGCACTGACCTTGATGGCTTGGTTTGTGATTTTTTTTGTCAGATGATAACTCATTTTCAGACATTAAGATGCACCATAAATCATATGTTCCTGTGAATATACAGTACGGGGTAATCTTGAATAATTCTCATGGCCAAGTCTGTCACATTTTCAGGGCAAATTCATTTTATCAAAACTCTTGTGTGCACATTGCTTCAGTTATTTGAAATGATATTGTATTTCCTCTCTTGATCTCTGATATTTCCATGAGATTCTATTTAATTGTCACAGAATCAATCTCTAATTGGCAATATAATTTCTTGAGAGGATATTTATGCAGGAAATTAACTGTGACTCTAACCTATCTGCTACACTACTTACCTCTCAATCGCTCATGCGTACATTTCAGTGATTATATAATTAATAATTCTGCTTCAAAAACCCAAAAAAATACTGTTCATTAATTGCATACAGCGATACCTGGACTTTTGTCCTCTTGAATTTCGTCGTTTCGCTCTTTCGGCCGTTTTTAATTATAAACACATTTTAAATTTCGTCCATGTGCTTTCCTCTTTAATCTGATTTCATCCAAAACCTTCCACAACATTCGTGCCACACACCATCTTTTTCGTTCAGTATGGAAAAATCACAGTCAGTTAAGACTTTACCTGGTTAATAACGTCCTTCCAATGATTGCTCAGTTTGTACCCATCCTCTCGGTTGACGTTGTGTCTGTGTTTATATATCTGGATGGCTTCATGAACAAATCTCTGAAGGTAGCCGGTAGGTTTGCAGAGTACCTCCGTCTTTGAAAAATCTATTTCGTGTGAGCCTACAGCGTTAAAACAATGATCAGCAACGGCAGAGGTATTGGTCCTTCCGTGTTTTAGATCTGCCTTGTGTTCACGAACGCGGTCCGAGACATGTCGTTTCGTTTCCCCAATGTAACTGCTGCCTCAACCACAACTCAGTTTGTAGACACCAGGGTATTGCATGTCGGGAATCACATCCTTTACAGATGGGATTAAATCACGGGTTTTGTGTACTGTGTTGAAACGAATCTGGATCTTGTGTTTGTTTAAGATTTTGGAAATCTTTTTGATAACCCCTGCTATGTACGGTAGAGTGATGGTTTTGGTTGGATCCTCAGAAGGTTGTCTCCGCATGGCTGGGGAGACAGGTTTGCGGATTGTACGGTCCGAGTATCCGTTCATCCTGAGCGCTTGGTGTACGTGCTCCAAATCACTGGCTCGGTGGTGCTGGTCGAAGATGCAATGGGCCCTACGGTGTAGTGTTTTGATGAGGGAATTCTTCTGGGCTAGATGATGGTGGGAGTCAGGCTTTACATAGGCATCCGTGTGGGTGGCTTTCCTGTAGACCAAATGTCCCAACGTGCCATCAGGTCTCTTCTTCATCCAAGATTGCCATCCTTTTCCACTTCCATGGTGAATTTGATAGACGGGTGTATGGAATTGATGTGGTTGAGAAATTGGTTCAGTGCTGGCAGGTCATGTGTCCAGATAACGAACGTGTCATCCATGTATCTCTTCCACAAGGAAGGACATAGGGTGGATGTCTGGATGGCATCTGTCTCAACATTTTCGATGAAAACATTCGCTACCACTGGCAATAAGGGAGAATCCATTGGAGAACCCACTGGGGTACCCTAATTTTGTTTGTAGAATATACCATTCCACGAAACGACATGTCTCGGACCGCGTTCATGAACACACGGCAGATCTGAAACACGGTAGGACCAATACCTCTACCATTGCTGATCATTGTTTTAACGCTGTGGGCTCACACGAAATTGATTTTTCCAGACGGAGGTACTCTGCAAACCTACCGGCTACCTTCAGAGATTTGTTCATGAAGCCATCCAGATATATAAACACAGACACAACTTCAACCGAGAGGATGGGTACAAACTGAACAATCATTGGAAGGACGTTATTAACCAGGTAACGTCTTAACTGACTGTGATGTTTCCGTCCTACCTGCCTATGTCAGCTGTTATTTCCGACTCTCTGTGTGTGTGTCTCTCTCTCTATGCCTCTCTCTTAGATGTATCATGCTCACATGTCCTTTGCATTGCACTCTCATGCTCACATGTCCTTTGGATTGCACTCTCATGCCTTTG